ATAAATAACTAAGATGTACTATACTTACATGCATACCTACATATATATCATATATACATATATGCACACACACACACACACACACACACACACACATATATATATATATATATATTTTTTTTTTACTTTGGACTTTCCTACCACTTAGTATGATTTTGAGATTTGTCCACGTCTTGGCGTGTTTCAACAGTTAATTCTTTTCTATTTTTGCTGAGTATTGTTTCCTTGTATGAATATACTCTGGTTATTTTTCTCCTAATAGACAGCGTTTGGGCTACACTGTTTCGGCTATTATGAATAAAGCTGCTAATAAAACATTTTGTACCAGTGTTTTTCGTGGCCCTGTGCTGTTCTTTGGGTAAGACCCAGGAGAGGGCTGCCGGGCCATGCAGTTAAGTGTATATTTCAGTGTACCTAAAGTGCCTCGCCAGATTTCAAGAGTGGTCATACACTTTTTGCTTCCACTGGCAATGTTTGATGGTTCCAGGTGCTTCTGGCTGTCTCCAGAAACAGTCATGGCCTCATGGTATGCGAGTCTCAAAATTCATGACCTCTGCTTCCTTGCTACACATTTCACAAATCATTTCTTTAATAACATAAGTTTATTTTTCCATCATTTTATGCCTTTTCCAGCTCATCTGTAACCCCCGTGGGCTTCCCCTCACCAGATCACCTGTGTGCCATCACCACAGTCCAGTGCACTCCCTGCCCCTCACCCCCCATTTTTGACCCCATTCCCCACTTCACCCCCATAAAATGTCTCTGGTATATAGTTGTTCATCATTATTATCATTATTATTATTTCCCCCCAGTCCTTTATGTTCCTGCTATGAGTGACACCATCCGGTTTTTTCTTTTCCTTTCTGGCTTATCTCACTAAGCATGATCTTTTCCAGCTCCATCCATGTTGCTGCAAAAGACACAAGTTTATCTTTTTTTGATCGCTAAGTAGTATTCCATTGTGTATATGTACCACAGCTTTTTAATCCAGTCATCTACATTTGGGCATTTGGGTTGATTCCACATCTTTCCTGTTGTAAGTAAAGCAGCAGTAAACATGGGGGTGCAGGTGTCTTTTTGAACATTTTTCCTTTTGACCATGACTAGACTTGAGGTTATTGTTTGGGAATGAATTCCCTCTTACCGATTCAGCTGTCATCTTAAACTAGATTTTTCTAAGTTGGTGTCTTTTTAATTTCACCCAACTTGACCCCTGCATCTGATTTTCAAGTTAAATCATGTCCAAATTACCCATAAGTAGCAAAATCATTTAAAATCCCCACAATTGATCTTACAAAGTAGATGAGATACTAGAGACTTCAAAGTACTGGGATCATTTCCAGTTAGAAATGACCTCAAAGCTTTACAAGAAAGAAAGCAAGAGACAGAATAATTCCAGCGTTTCTTTGCCATGATGTTTAGCTTGTCGTGAGTGTTGGGGAAGGATTTTGAGCGGTGCTGGACACGGGGCTGACATTGGCTTGGTCCATGAGGCGATTCCCAGAGTACTTGACCTTCGTACTCCCCAGATGGGTCTGGAAGATTCGACGGAGGTCTGATAAAGTGTGTCTTGGCTGCAGTAAGCTTTGCTCTGTCCGAATACCGTGAGCTCTCGTCTCCCGAGCTCCTGAAGGGGATAATACTTCTTCCCGCCTTGTGGCAGTTGAACCCCATAAGCCTTTGTAAGCCAGCTGGCAGCTGAGAAGCCAGGCAGAGGAGCTCCTTCAGGGGGGTGAGTGCTCACAGGTGAGTGCAGCAACAGCGTTGTTTATTGCCGGGCGCACAGCCCCAGGCCTGCGAGCCACACCATAGTAGTGACTCACCCACCCACCGACAGAGCAGGCCACGCTTTCTCCGGAAAGGAAAGTGTATGATCATTTTGAAAAGTGTCCCTGACAGTTGTTCCTGTGAAAAGATGCTTGTATCTGAGGGGTCACGTTTCCCTGCCCCCCCCCAAATCCCCCCCCACATGCCTCCGAGCGCCTGCTGGGGGCTCAGGCCAGTGGCCGGCTTGGGCCGCTTTTCACTCCCGCGCTTGTTTGCCCATCAGGATGACAACTGGGGCGAGACCACCACGGCCATCACGGGCACCTCGGAGCACAGCATATCCCAGGAGGACATCGCCAGGATCAGCAAGGACATGGAGGACAGTGTGGGGCTGGACTGCAAGCGCTATCTGGGCCTCACCGTGGCCGCCGTCCTGGGACTGCTAGTCTTCCTCACGCCCATCGCCTTCATCCTGCTGCCCCCCATCCTGTGGCGGGACGAGCTGGAGCCCTGCGGCACCATCTGCGAGGGACTCTTCATCTCGGTGGCGTTCAAGCTCCTCATTCTGCTCTTCGGGACCTGGGCGCTGTTCTTCCGCAAGCAGAGGGCGGACTTGCCGCGGGTCTTCGTGTTCCGCGCCCTGCTGCTGGTGCTCATCTTCCTCTTCGTGGTTTCCTATTGGCTCTTCTACGGGGTCCGCATCCTGGACTCTCGGGACCGGAATTACCAGGGCATCGTGCAGTACGCGGTGTCACTGGTAGACGCCCTCCTCTTCATCCACTACCTGGCCGTGGTCCTGCTGGAGCTCAGGCAGCTGCAGCCCATGTTCACGCTGCAGGTCGTGCGCTCCACCGACGGCGAGTCCCGCTTCTACAGCCTGGGGCACCTGAGGTAAGGGGCGCCGGGCCACCTTCGGCCGGGAGGGCGGTGGCCAGTGCCAGGGGCTCGCCTTGCCCCAGGAGGAGCTGCCCCGGGGTGGGCCGTGTTGATGTCCCGATGTCTTTCTTTCCTTTTTTTAAAAAAAGATCTATTTATTTATGCACACGGGAATGGGGGTACCAGCCAGAGGTCAAGGGGTGAGAGGAATTGCTGGAGACAGAGTGGGAAGCAGAACAGGCAGACGGACCGAAATGCATTGCTGAGGGGAGCAGCGGGGAGACAGGAGAGGTCTGCTGGGCCCTGTGGGTCACTCCCTGGCCAAGATCGAACTCGTGCTGCAGTGGCTGTGGACAGCTTCGCAGTGCTGCGCTTTAACCCGGTGCACCGCCAGGGAGGGCCGGACTTCCCTGGTTTCTGGTTGGTGTGGGGCCATGACTGGCTCTCATCCAGGATGGTTTTCTTGGGCTGCCTCGTGGAGGAAGGATGCACATGGTGGCTGCTGACCTTGCTGCTGGCCTTGGCTGGTGGATGCTGGACGGTGCGGTCAGCAGCTCCATTTTGCCCAAAGTGGCTACATCTGGTTTATTGTTGTCCTGGCAGAACCACTAATGTTCCTTTTCTTTCTTTCCCTCAGAGGTGCTTTGGGCAGTCAGAGGTGCTTTGGGCAGTCAGCTCCCGGAGGACAGGGATGATGCCTCTCCCCTGGCTGCAGCCTCAGTTTCTACTGTGCCGGGCACCCAGTGGGCACCCAGCTGGCTAGCAGTGGTGGGTGCGGACCCCGGGACGCCTAACTTGCCCTTCTCAATGGGTGCCCCTGTCCCGGGTGGTGGAAGCCAACGTGGGGACCTGACTGGCTTGTGATAAGCAACCTCGTTCATAGTGATTCTGTAGCTGGCAAAGCAGGCGACATGGGCAAGGACACCTTAGTGGCTTCACCAGCGCTGTGGGCTTCCTCCTCCAATTAGCTGTTGCCAAGGGAGGTGGCCCAGCCCTGTGTGGAGCCAGGCCACGCTGCCAAGCCCTCTCATGCTGGCATGCACCCACTTTTCTTCCTCTGGCTCAGCACTTCCGAGACCTGGTGGCCGAGTGCTGAAAGCTGCAGCACTCTGACCAGCCTGGCGGGCGGCGGTGTCAGAGCCACGTGCCAAGCAGCGAAACCAGGTGCCTGAGGCCTTCCCAGATGCTGCTGGGCTCCCCTGCCAAGTCAGTCACCGCCGCTGCCCCAGCTTCCTGCCCCTAGCTCTCCTTGGAGCATAATGGCCCAGGGAGCTGTGTTAAATGTGTGCTGTGTGCAGGCCTGGAGCCTGCTGGACCCAAGGGAGCTGCCTGCGAAGCTCTGTTCTGGAACTTGCGGGGCTCACAGTCACTTGGAAAGAACCCAGCACGCTCTGTGCAGTGGACCGTGCTGACCACGAGGGCCCGGGAGGCAGGGAGAATTGCAGGCAGTGGCGTGACGATGGGCAGCTCGGTCTGAACAGGACAGGGACAGGGTCTGCTGTCGGGTGGGGTAGAGGAATCCAGCTGTGGCCATGGTGGACAGGGCTGGTTCTTTGGGGGTGGGGGGTGTCCACGTAAGGAGCCCAGACACTGGCCACAGTGAGGCTGCTGTGGTTCACGGCCCTGTGCCGTGGGGCACAGCCCGGGCTGGGGTGGCTCCCGCTGTGAGGGGGAAGGGAAGCTTGTCTTCTGGTCTCAGCACATGGGTCAGCGTCACCAAAGAGTGGGAAGGGGAGGGACACACCGACAGCCCAGGGCGGACACCTGTGGTGTGTTCAGAACAGGGGCAGCAGCCCTGTACTCCACCTCCTACCTGTGTGGCCAGGTGTGGGCCAGGTGCAGGAGGCAGGACCGCTCGCTCCCGTGGCCTGTTGCGTGTCCTCACCACGACCGCCATTTGCTGACCCTGAAGCCCCGACCCCGACTCCCCAGGAAGACCCAAGGGCCCAGGGCATCTAGCCCTGGGGGAGAGCGTGTCCAGTCTCCCCTGGGTCCTCTTCAGTAGTCATTTTCCTCCCCCTCCTGCCTCTCGGGAGACCCACTTTTCCTCACTGGTGTTGGGGTGCCAGGTGACTGGGAAGGAGAGCCGCCTTTGCCTACAAACACAGGCCTCGGGCAGCCCTGCCTGTGCGGCCAGTTTGCCAGAACCGGCCGACTCGGCCTCCGGGCCGTGGGCACCACCACCCGCCGGGCGCTGAGCTAAATCTGCTCTCAACCCTGTGTGGCGGCGAGAGTCACCGAGCCAGAAATATAACTTCTGACCTCTTTTGTAAAACATGGAAGCAGGAGGGAGGGGAATGAGAATAGACCAGAGAGCAGGGAGCGGGGCCGGACGGGGCATCCGGAGCCACCTGAGTCCCAGCGGTCCCCTCCCTTGATCCGCCCGCCTGTGAGTCGTGGGCGGCAGCGGCCTCGGGGCTGCGGAGCGGAGCCTTGGTGAGTCCTTGTTCTGTTTGGTTGTCAGAGATGACTTCATTGAATGGACTGAGCTATTTTTGAGCGTTGTCAAAAGAATACCTGGCCCTTCGTTTCTTTACAAAATATGCTTCTTTTTAGCTCTGCTGGAAGGTTCTTGCTGGGAGCCTGCTTGTGAGCAGCAATGGGATTTTCAGCCTAATGGAATCTTTGAGAAATGTGACAGGTGATTGTTGTTCAGAGTGAGATGTCATAGTTGGTTCGGGGGTTCCTGGCCTTTACCTGGTACCAGAGGGGTGACTAGAGGCCTTCCGAGCCGCCAGCTTTTCCACGATTTCACCCAAGACCTGTGAGGTTTGATCTGACTGTATTGGAGAGAAACCTGGAAGAAAATATTTAGTGATCCTAGCTAACAGTTGCTCAGCTTTGGAATCTTTAAATTCCTTGACTACTGGGGTGTAGAGTCTGGAGTTGTTGACTCTGCAGTACACAGCCTTGCTTAAGGGCCACCAAGCACTTCCTGTACCCCAAGGCCTTCTGGGGGCTCCCCTGTGACTTCCCACATCTTCAGAACAGTCCAGGGGGTCAGTATTCTTATCCTTATTTTCAAATGTGAAAACGGAGGCACAGAAGAGTTAAAGAGGTTGTGATTGTGTGAGAGACCCGGATTATGTGGTTCCAGAATGATCTTTACCTATTTCACACAGCTCCTCATCTCCACGCCAGTGCTTTAAGCACGCATGAACGAACTTGTAAGCGTTTGGGTGTGGGGCGGGGGGTGGCTAGGGGCAGGCTATTTGTGTGTCTCTTCTCCTATTTCAATTAGGCCCCGGACAGAGGGGAAGAAGAGGGTTGTCAGCTCGTGGCACCACTCTGCCTTAGCGCTGGAAGTTCAGTTGTTCAATCAACAACAAAACTCGCTCCTTAGAACCACAGCAACCTTTCAAACTTGTCCTACAGCCCATGCCCCAAAGAAGCCCCCTTTTTGCTATTGCTTACAAAAGCACCCCGAAACTCAATCGTTGAATTTGATGTTGCGCTATTTTATTATTAGTTCTGTGAACTGGGCTTAGCTGGGCTGCTTCTGCCGGCCGGCTGTGTGGTCCCTGTGTGATTGCAGGTGTGCAGGGCTCAGCCAGCTGGGACTGGGGTCAGCTGGGACTGGGATCAGCTGGGACCGAGCGTCCGTCTCTTCCTGTCTGGGCTCTGTTCTCTCCCTCCCCAGAGCACCTTCCCCCTGGCAGGCTCTTCAGTAGTGCCTGGACTTCTCGGGAGTCTCAACAAATCAAAAGCAGAAGTTTCCTGACTCTTTAGGACTTAGGCCCACTGCTGTCGCTGCTGCATTCTCTTGGTTCAGGCAAACCAGTGCCCAGCGCTGGCTTCTGGCCATGACACACGGGACTCCCACCGCTGCCGGGGACTCCCACTCGGAGCAGCTTGCTCTTCTTGCTTGGCATAGAATTCGACCGGATTTAATCACTGACTTTTCTGCCTCAGAAAGTCCAGAAGTAGCTCATCTGGTGTGGGGGGGAGCTGCTTTGAGTGTGATGAAGACGACAGCACCAGTGGAGAGACAGAGAAACCCCAGGGCTGCATGGACGCCCAGCCCCGCACTCTGGGAGACTTGTCTGTTCGAATGCCCAGTCTGCTGAGGCCTCTCTGTGCATGGCTCAGCCAGCAGCCTGCAACTCTGTTTTTTTAAGATTTAAGTATGCACACAGAACTGGGGTACAGGCCAGAGGTGCAGGGGCTGAGAGGATACACCAGAGACAGAGTGGGGAGCAGGACAGGCAGATGGATGAAGTACACTGCTGAGGGGAGCAGTGGGCGGGTCAGGAGAGGTCTGCTGCACCCTGTGGTCACCTCCGGGGCTGGGGATCAAACTCACACTGAAGGGCTGTAGCCAGCTTGCTGTGCTGCGTCCTAACCTGTTGAGCCACCAGGGAGGGCCCCACCAGGGAGGGCCCCACTCTGGGTTTCTAAGCATTCTTCATTCATGTGCTTATTAGTAGCTTCTACGTTGGCATTAACCGTGCACCTTTTAATCAAAGGTGGCTACTGATTAGAGAACCGCTTGTGTTTTAGAGGCAGTGATTCCTGGGTTGATTTTCAAACAGTGGAGGTTTGTGATTGTACATGATGGTGGCCTTGTATTGAAAAGGAATGTATCCCCCCCCAAATTTCACATACGGAAATGAGAAGCACAGTGTTTGAAGTGGGGAAAAGCTACTTAATATAGTACCTTTATACTTTCTACTATAAAGTACTTTATACTTCATACAAAGTAGCAAACAACTCGACTGACTTATGTTCCTGCTGCAAGGCTTTGTGCGAGGAAGAAGCTGAGAGAGGAAGCTGGGTTAGCCACTTTTCTGACCAAGGCATTGACGGTGTAGCTTGGGTCTTCACTCCTTTCAGCAAAATCTGAACCAGAGAAGGAATTGCTAAGCAACAAATACACCGGAATTGAAGAATTGGAAGCGTCTCAGTCTGTAGCCAAAAATCGTGGAAGTCTGGACCGAAGAGAACGCCAAGGGTGACTGAATCACCGTTCGATAAGGAGTTTGAAATGTGGCTCTGAACCAGCGATTTAATCAGCC